GTAAACCGCTAAAGTTGCTGACGAGTGGGTTGGAAGTGGCAGCCACGCTTTGTAAGTTGTCACTGTGGCATGCAACAATGTCAGATCCAACAGTGGTCGATATTACATAACGAATCGCTTTACGCTTCTTAGTTCATACTCTACGTGATGAACAAAAACAATGCTGGTGCACCGAAAAGGGTGCACAATGTATTCAAGTATAACACCGGCCTGGCCTTAGGCCTGGGAATCGTATAGGCCGCAGCCCACTGCTGCCTGCCCGTCTAATCACCGGTATGGTTGTCCGCTTAGTTGCATGGCAACAGATACTCACAATCATAGTACAAATTCCCTTATAGCAAAAGAAAAATGTGCAAGAAATGTGCAAGGAAATGTGCGAGAAAGAAGATGCACAAACAGTGCCGCCGTAGACTTTGCGAGTGAGCTGCCTCACGCGCCGTTGCTGGCACATGAAAACACGCCCGGCACCTCGTGCGCTTCGAACGAGTCAATGATGCCCTGCACACTGGCATATGTTCCCACCGTTAGGAACATGACGCCAGTGAGAATGATGAGCACATTGAGAATATTCGAACAAAGGTCGATAAACTTGTTCTCCTTCTTTCCGTCTTCCCGATCCACCTGGCGCATGCGGAAGTAAGCCACACCCCAAAAGATAAAGCCGAACCAACTGTCAAACAACGAAGACATGACCGACAAAACTGTTCATCACTGTTAGTTCATCTTCCGATGCTGCCTCTCTCTGAACAACTTACGAGACGAGAAGAAAGGAATGACCTGCGAGATCAAGAATGCCGCAATCCAGGTAATGAGCAGAAGACCGGCCCACGAGCTCCAACCCACGACGGTGTGGTCGTTGAGGTGGCGCGAGTTGCGGAACAGACGGAAGAAGACGAAGCGACAGGTAACCGAAGCGTACAGGCAGCCAAGAAAGATCAACGTCGGGATCATGAAAGAAAACGAAATCTTCTTATACAAGTCCTGTAGAGAGCCAAAAGCTGGCGCAGTCATGTAATTGTTTCCAACAAAGACGTACATGACTGCACCAACGACGCAAAAGACGATAATTTCGGCAATGGTGCAAGCCCACAGCGACTTGGGAAACTCGCTGTGTGTTGTTAGCAACAAGATCAAACATAAAACCGTGGGGTGCTCACCGAGGGTCGCGCATTTCCGCAATGAAGCTGGGCAGGGTAATCTGCCCAATAAAGGTGTAGCTGATGTTGAGAAATGCCGCCATGCCCTGGACGAAAGTGACGCTCGCATTAGGGAATAGATCGTAGACAACATCGCCGCTGCCAGCCTTGGCGGGAGGGCCGCTCTGGATGCCTGCAAAGATTGCAGCCAAAAGGACAGAAATGAAGGTGAAGGCGGCAGATGCGGTACCGAGCTTGGACATCATCTCAAATGTGCGAGGAAGAGAGCCGACCCAGCAGATGAAAGTCACCAAGATGGAGAATTCGACCGTTCGGCAACCGCCAATGGTGTCACTCTCAGTCATCGTGTTGATGTACTTGGCTCCGACGAGGACGTGAAGGCCCTGGATGAAGGTGTTGTTGAGGATAAACATAATGGCGGTCCCCCACCATGCCCATTTCTTGCCCCAAAACAGAGTTTGACCAAGATCGCACACATCGCGAATCTCTGGATGGCGGAGACAGAATTTCCACATAATCAGACTGGTGTAGAGGACAAGCGCAGCAACAACAACCGTCAGGATTAGTCCGGGAATGAGACCAAGATAACGATACGACCAGGGAAAACTCATGATAGCCAAGCAAATGTACTCGCTAAAAAGTAAAGCCGCCGTTTTCTGCCACGAGCAGGTGCGATATTGAATGGCAGCGCCGTCCTCTGCAGCCAGCTGTCGATCGAGAATCTCTGAAGCGGTTTCCGAATGATCAGTATCGTCGCTTTTCAAGTATGCCGGCAGCGGCGCAATACGCGAGCCCACGACAACATCTTTGCCGCCGAAAATGGAAGCCCATCTGGATGAACCTGTTGTGATGGCCGTGTTGGTGGTCTCGAGGTCCGGAGGGGAGGACGTCTTGGAGGACTTTTCAGACATGGTGATATGCGATGGGCTGTCGTCTTTCAGCAGAGGAGGGTTTGAGCAGAATCGGCCGCCGAAGGACTAGTAGACTCGAAGCGTTCGCGACTTTGTAGACCAAAGACGGAGGCGCAACGGAGCTATTCGATAAGCACACAACGTGGAGGGGTGAATGACTTGAAGTCAATGCTCAATATGTACAACGGTGTTTTGACAAATTGAGCAGGGTAAAGCCACACAAAGAGTTAGCCCGAGGTTGAGGTGAGACCGAAGCGGTTCGTCAAATGCGCTGGGAATGAAAACGGAATGGCAAGGCAACAAGTCTTGGTGTTGCTAGAACCGGGGCAGCCCAAGTTTAAAAGCAGTCATCTCAACCGTCGATGGCATTCCGCAGCCAGAAATCGCCGCCCGTCTCACTTGCTGTACGCACAGGAAAGCGCTGCAGCTAATCCCAACAAGCAGCCCTTTGGCGGCTGACTAGGCTCTGGCGGCCCATCCAAGGAACGAATCGTGGCATTTACAGTGCAGCCGTGCAAGGTGGAGGGTGCGATGACGTCTTGAGCGCCCCTGTAAATGCTTTCGAGAACCCCCCACAGTGGGCGGCGCCATGTGGATCTGGCGCTGCTGGTGTGGCTTTGAGGCTTTGCAAACTTTTCTATACAGTGCATCTATTTCGCTGGTTTTGCTTCGGCTTGGCTCTTGGCTGCTCTAGGCTGCTCTTGGCTGCTCTGTCGTTTCAATTGAGGGCAAGCGTGCACGCCTCGCCAAGTCGCTTCGTCCCGGATTGGCTCGCGATGTGCCTGCTTGGCAAAGTTGAGATGGTGGCTGGTATTGCGGCGCTTCGATGCCATTTTGCAACCCGTGTAGATACTAGCAGCAAACTACAGCATCTTGCTGTCTGCAGTTGCACCAGCAGCACAGTGCCAATCTTGGGCCGCCCTGGAGCGTGTCAGAAGTGGCGGCTCCGCGGCTCAAGCTAAGCACACGGGTTGACGGGCAAGCAGATAGACCTAAAGTTTAGTGAGATGCGCAGGAGCGTAGGTAGTTAGCGCTAGGAAATAGCAGCCAGCGAGTGGTTGGTGGCGGCGCCCGTCGTGGATGCACAAGGCCCACTGCTCTTTGTTGCTTTCGTGTCGGCTGGGCCGGGGCGTTGTCGAATTCTGACGAGATGATTGACGCTGTGAGCTTATGCAGGATGTCTAGTAAAGGCCTAGGTAGTTATCATTTGTCGACTTCATGGTGAAATGGAGTTGTATGATGGAGAAACGAGACGAACCCCGCTGTTTGAGACTGAAAATTCTTTAACTGCTGCAGCTGGCAGAGCCGTTTTGCGCGTTATTAGAGGTATGTACTCAGTTGTAAGCTGGCTGGCAAGCAGGCAAGCAGGCAGGCGATGTCCGCCAGCAAACTACTTAGGG